GCATCTTCTTAGAGAGATTCGGAGACATTGGATTACCACAATTATTTGTCCACCTCCATTTAGAGACTGGTGAAATGTCACCATCTTGGCAATGACCACCCAAGAAATGTGGACTAATGACAACAATACTTGAAAAGTGAAAATGTCGAAGACATTGACATAAATGGAGCTACAAACAGACAGAGTCATTCAAAGCTCCAAATAATCAACAGAACAGATCAAAAAAGAAGCCAAGTCTACTAAACAAAGATCCTGTAGCTTTGGTCTACAAAAAAAAAAAGAAACAAACTCACTTGCTAGGTGATCGTGAAGGAAATGTAATAATTTATGGGATCCGTTGCTTTCGTGATAAATTTTGTTGATTTCAGGAGATAAAGGATTTCCTTGGAGACCTGAAATCATTCCTCTATTATATGGGATCGCAAAAGAATTTACAACAACATCATATAGTTTTCAAGTAAGGTCACCTAAGCAAAAGCAAACTCCTCATGAACTATTAAGAACATTACGACAAGGGATTTTCAAGCGAACAGCAAATACTTGTATCGAAATTGTGCCCTCAGAATGAGAAAGCTGAACCGCACTTATGCATGGCCATGGTTGTTGTTTTGATACAAAGAAATCATTCAAACGTAACTGTTCAGAAAGGACCTCGTCTCAGCAAATACGAAAAAGTTAAAAAAAAAACAAAAGCGCAACAGAAAAAAACGATACAAAAACAATTAATAACGACGAAAAACTATTCTTCTATTGTGAAACACCTACCCAAAGTTTGTATCCTGAAGAGCTTTCCAAGCTCGTAGGGTAAAACTCTAAGCTGGTTGTGGTTAAGGTAAAGGTGGCAGAGGGATATCATATCACCCAGCTCTGCCGGAAGGCTCCGTAGTTTGTTATGAGATAGATCCAACATTGTCAAGTTTGTTAACTAAATACAGGAAATCAAGAAAAGTTCGACTGGTAACACATACTTCCACTGTGTTCGCAGTTGGTGAACTACAAAAAAACAAGCTGAAAAGGATAAGAACGTATCCTACCTGCGATATTTCGGGCGGAACACGCGTTAACTGATTGCCATTTAGAAATAAGGCGGATAAGTGACTCACTTGCCATAGCGCATTAGAGAGATTACGAACTCTTCCTGAAGAAGGAATGCTCAACCAAAATCTCATTTTGAAACTGTTTTTGATGACAATTCGAATCGTCACTGTTCCGAACAAGTGAACATGTATTCAGACATGACATCTTTGATCTTAGACTGTTTTTCCTTTCTCCGCAAATTGCTCACAAACGAAGCCTCATTAGTTGCTTTGCTTTGCACGAGGAATGATCAAAACACAGAGGTGCGCGGTAGCCTTATTTAAAAAAAAGTTCAGCACGGGAATATTTGTAAATCGGAAAAGTACATAAACAACAACAGCATGATTTCTGGTATGAGCATTGGGAATGCAGAATACTGGAGGCCCCTCGATGTCTCTTCAGTGGGAAATACAACATATGATCAACATTCGACGCAGGTAACCCGATAAGCTGGTTAGCCAGAACCTGCTGAAAATCAACAACTGCAACGGAAAACAAAAGGCGGTCAGAAACAAGTACTGAAAATTCTATATAACTGGAATATCATCTTTTCTGGTTCGTTGCTCGCTCATGAAACACTGTTGCACAACTTGTAAATTTAGCCTGTCATCATTCTTACTGCTTTTGGCTTTTGTTTATACTTCACTGGGCAAAACTGCATGAACATGCGCTGTAATTCAAAGGTAGATTTATGCAGTATAATGACAGCAATGCGCAATATTTTGTAAATCACGCAATATCTGAGAGAAGAGAATGGAGCCTAACAATTGAATGGAAAGTCCCAGCAAATTTTGAAAAGAAGAACAGCGAATTCTTCACTGCGCAGGCAAGACGTGCGCTTAAGTTAAACACTTGCTGCTGGATCATCGGAATGGGCTCGGTTCTTTATGACCTCGAAAAAAACTTTAAAGATGTAAAAAATGAAAGTCACTTTGGCATTCAAGTGAAGTTAATGCAGTTAACAAAAAATCAGCTGAAAGCCGTCGATAGCTGTCAGATCAGTAACAAAAAATGCTTCTGTAGTTCTATCCCAGCCTATTCTGAATTCAACTCCGAATTGATGTTAAAATAAAGATCATCAGACTGCCGGAGGAAGACCTAAGGGTTCGAAATAAAAAAGCTTTCACAAAAAAAAACTAGCAAGATACTCAACTCGGACGATATAAAAGGTCACATTCGAGAAGACCAAAAATTTGTGCAGTACGATAATAATGTTGGATGATTGATATAAAGGGAAAATTTTCAAACACAACTAAAAACTTCGGTACTCCCTCTTCGAAATCGAATGACGATTGACCTGGTTCAAAGTGCTGAATCGAGTCAGCGCAAATGAGCAGCGTACTTTTTCCAAGTCAGAAAATGAAATTCAATGACAAAAAATCTATTATTCCACCATGGAGAACAATTATTTACATAACCATTTGGCAAAGGCTAACAACTCTGATTTTCTACATAATAAGAACACGCTGCAGCCCGTTGCTGCTCGTACCTAGTGTAGTGAATTTAAGTCAAAATTAAGAAAAAACACTGCAAAAAATGCGAAAGAAAAGGAAAACAAACCATGAATTTCCAGCTCAGTCCAGCGTGTCGTTTTCCCTTGATTTATTTCATCCTCAGATAATATTCGGTGCACTCTGCTCATGCCATTAGTTAGCACTTTTTTACCATCATTGTTTTCAACTTTTGTCAGAGGAAGTCCCGCACCCCCTCCCTGTTTGTCTTTATATTCTCCACTTCCGTTTAATTCCCCGTTTTGCATGGTACCTGAAATTACTAGTAAAACAACAATGTCATTTGGCATCAAAGCAATATAATGTCACACATAAAGTAGTCGTATAAGGTAACACAAAGCAAAAATAAACAAATAAGCAAGAAACAGCACAGTGAAATACCGGACTGTTAAAAAATGGTCGTGTACCTACGTGTACCATCAAACGAAAAGAATCCGATTTCGTCTTAAGGGCGATACAATGCAACAGAACAACCTAGATGGCTAACCACACTGCTGGTTACCCTACCGAACTGAGTACCCAGCGATAGATCAAATTTGTTATGTCGACGAAACCATATGACAAACAAAACAATCATGCTTTAGTTTAAAAAGGTGACCGACCACATTTGTGAGAACTTGTGGGTTGCGTGCGGTCGCGTAGCGGTGACTGCGCATCTAAGGATACGGTATTCATGGTTTCCCTCGCAACCGACATGAAATGATCGGGCTGTCAAAAATTCCAACAGAATTCCGCTGATTTGTGGTCAATCCCGAAGAAAGCTCTTGATTTCTTCCCAGACGGGCGCTTTTCGTAGAAATCGAGTGTGCTTACCCAGGCGTAGTCTTTGGTTGTCATCTGGTAATCTCCTGTTTCGTGTTCGCCGGAAAGCCTAGGGTTAGGGACCCGGGGGACATTTGTCTGATCTCTTGGTCCTTTTCATTTCTTTGCAGTGTTGATTAAGGTGGAGTTGTTGGCACTTTTTATCTGAGTCGTTCCCACGTTCTTTGACTATTAGTTAATTTCTATTTCCAGGCGTGACCCGCACCATTGGATGGCTAACCCATCCAGTTTCATACCCCAAAAAGTGGGGTTTCCTCAAGCTTTTGGCAGCACTCCATATCAACATACCGCTCAATTCTCACAATTTGGACAACCACAGGCGCCTACGACGAATCCACGAACGTATGTTCTCATTAGAAGTTCCTTTTTGTTTATTTTCATCAAATTACTTTGGTTTTTCAAAGCCTTTCAGATTGGTTGTTGCAAGTATAGCAATACAACGCTTAGAGAGGGAGTTTTTATCGCTTTGCAAATACATACACAGAGAGAAACGATGCGATCAGTACCCCTTGGGAACTTCCCCTACATCCTTTCTGCTTGGTTAATGCATGTGAGACTTTGCCCATTTAGTGTAAGCAGTCAGCAAATAACTGACAACTAAATCACGTTTAGACTTTCAGAGAAACATTTCAAGCATGGGTGAGCCTGTGAGATCCATCAACATACCCAATATCGAGCTATTTTGGGGAGCTGCCGGCTTCTTGTGGTCAGGTACCAGGCCGAACTACAGACTGTGGATTATAATGTATCTGTACCAAGACTTAGGGTCAGAATCCCAGCATACGTAAGCTAGATGCGTTATCTTGCGTCAAAGTGCTATGTGATAGAAGTCTGGTATAAAATACTCATTAGGACCATATAGTACTCTTCAAAAATGTCAACATTGAACGTATGTTTTGGCCACTCTATCGTTCCGTTCCTTTGGAATTGAGGAATTCCCTTATGTTCTACACGGACAACCCCATAGTCGTCTGTCCAGAATGGCCCCAATCAAAGGGGTTTTCCTCTCCTCCACAAGATCCAGCGTAGGTTCTGAAGGACGAATCTAGAGATACAGTTTATCTATCTAGCACGAACTATAAAATGCGTAGAAAACAGGAAACAACAACGAATACGGTGATTTATTGGTATCGCATGCTTTTTTTACGATATCGATTTACGTGCACATCGCAGCACCCTTCGATCTTGTTTTTATGAACTTTTCAAAAGCTACCGACGCTATGAGTAACCAATAGTGCTCTTCATATAGTTAGCTGTCCAAAGTACGCGTTGATTTTGTTTATGCTTCAGCGTGAGCGAACATGCGTTAGCGATAGCAGCGCATTGCTTGGTTCTGGGTTGTTGGATCACTGTACGACGACAACATTGCATGATTATTCTTTCAGCTAGTTCCTTGGCAAATTATAGTAACTATAGAGGTTCATTCTAGAAATGAGGTCCCAAGGAGTGCATTTCAAGTCCCACCAACGTCTACGGCGCCGTCAGTATTTCCACAATTCCCTACTACTCCCAATTACACACCAAATGCGCAGATGGTCAATGGTTTTCCACAAAATAAGAATGTAAGTGGTTTCAGTATTTTACCTTCATGTTTGAAAAAAAAAACTTTTATAACAACAACTAAGTAATTTTTTGAATGTGCGGAAAGAATTGAGTTTGACTAATCTTAACGGCCTTGCGGCTTGTCCACTCTTAAACACATACAAATATACGTATATGTATATTAGATCAATGACGGTGCTGGAAAGTTTTGAAGTTTATGATTGATTTAAACAGTTACGCACAAGTGATCGTAGATTGGTCATTGTATAGGTTTAGAACTATTTCTACGTATCTGGTTTTAAGTACGAAAAAGTAATGGGTGAGTGTTTCTGAGAAGACACGATATTTGAAGCCTCAAAACCGTGAGAAGGTTTCGAAACTCAGATTTATCATTTTCAGTTGCCCTGCAAAAGGGAAGTAGCAATCGGTGTCCTGTAGTCATTTTTAATCACCTTAATCGTTCATTCGCTTCTATTACAGCTTTCATAGCTGCGTGAACAGAGCCCACTCTATCCAGAGAACATCGATTATCGATGGCACATTCACATTTACAGTGAGAAGCAGTGTCGCACTACCAACATTTGTCCGGCTTATTTTGAAGCACTTTTTACGATATAACTTTCCATGCAGATATCTGCCTGTTCATAGTTAGCCCTTTCATATATAGTAATCGTACTGGTATTCCTTCACGAGTGCGCAAAAAAGCTGACAAACAAGGGTCAGATGAGTGATCAAAATAAAGTGATTGAGGAGTTCTGGGGATCTTTTACATTGTTCCAGAAAAGGCCACATGTCTCAGAGCCGTAGGTAAGGTTTTACTTTTTCATCAATTAATCGTCACAAATTGATAGTGGTTGCTGCCGATTGATCAGAACTGCAGAGGTGAAGTGTGTGCTGTGTTATGATGTGCGCTGTTTAGACCTATCCCCGACACTACATCAACATGCCTTTTGAGCTTCGTGCTGAGTACCTTTGATTTTGTTGGATTTTCACTTCAGTCGTCATCATCTTCGAAGTTAGCATCGAAGGATTTCGAACTTCCTTACATATATATTGGGATGATCATTGATTAGTGTGGGCAAAGGGATCTGCCGAGATAATGGGGTCACGATACCATTTAGCCCGGGACTCATTGCGATTGGGAATCAATCCTTGTCATGAGTATGGAAGGACACTACTGGTAATCGAACCTCAGGGTAGGTAAAGAGGTTCTTCTCTTAGGAGTTTACGCTCATGTTTTTTTCACTTTTCTGTTCTTAGCAGGCTTATTCTTCAAACGTGCTTCCCGCGTTTTTGATCTTCAGCTCTCATTATTTGCCAGTGCATCTGCAGTGCATCCGCTACTGAGGACGAGGGAAAACTCACTTGTTACGAGTTGTCTCATTATAATTGGTTTCACTTTTGCAGTGCAACGCGTTACGCACCACGTGTGCGGATTGACCTCCTTATCTGGGCGATGAATCGCACCAAGAGGGGTTCAACTACATGAGAGGTTCGGGGATCGGATCCGGGCTTTATATCCACTAAACCTTTCAGACAAGCCTTCCATCTCTTCGGGGATGAAAGGCTTGTCTGACAGGTTTGGTGGATATGTAATATGTACCGAATCGTCTAAAAAGGGATATCTGAAACCATGGCTTGTACTTGGACTGTCAACTTTCATTTTAACGACCACATCCTAAGTCGGAATGCGAGTGCCATTCTGAATTGATTTCCTGTTAGAGGTGCATTCCAAAGTGCGTTTGTTGACGTCGAAACATATAACCATCTATAACTTCTTAACGATTATATAGCTTAACCCTTTGACGACAATGCGGATTTCGACGTGACGTGCCGTGGCACCCACCGGCGGGTGGCATTCTCTCAGGGGAAACTTCTTTCACTGGCTTACTGAATTCAGCACTTGGTAAGAAACGAGAATGTATGAGGGCTCCCAAAATTGGGTGCCGTTGTCCCATGTGCACGTCATAGTGGCACTCACCTGTGGGTGCCATTGCCGTCAAAGTGTTAAAAACTCGTGTGCGACCTTTTAATTGTGGACGTTGTCATGAATTGTATATGTGCAACTTTCGGGGGATATTCATGGTAACTTATCTTTTCTGTGGGTGACCGTCCCAGTGTGAAACATGCCACGTGGTCATGACCCTCATTAAATACGCGCTACAATTCAATTGGAGCGCGATTAAAACGTATTATACTCAGAAGCAGGTTTGGTCTGAAGCTTTACGTAACCCTAGTGCACACGTTTGTAGAGTGCGACTACCGGAGAAATAGGGTTTCACGCTTATCTGCTTTTAATATGATGTCTTTTTTTTGGCGAGCATGCAAAAGTCGCTAAATACAGCACATCGTTTGTTGCAGCTTATTTTTCAGTGTACAATCGATTTCAGCTTTCAACCAAATTGTACATGATCAAGATTCATAGATTAATAAGAGTTTTTTATGACTGTACCTATGCTCTAGCTAGAACTATCAACAATAGGGTTCTTTCAGAGTGAAAAAAAACTTATCGAACGACCGACCGACTGACGGTGTTGCTGGCTACGTGTTGACAACAGTGGACAGATTGTGTTCAGAGCCGCGTGANAACCAAATTGTACATGATCAAGATTCATAGATTAATAAGAGTTCTTTATGACTGTACCTATGCTCTAGCTAGAACTATCAACAATAGGGTGCTTTCAGAGTGAAAAAAACTTATCGAACGACCGACCGACTGACGGTGTTGCTGGCTACGTGTTGACAACAGTGGACAGATTGTGTTCAGAGCCGCGTGAGTCATGAGAGCGCGTGATCCATCGGCGTACAGTGTTGTCAGCATGTAGCCAGCAATACCGTGGGTTGGGCGGTCGTTGCGCTCTGGAGGTGTCCATACACGCAAATTCAGATAAGTTTTAGCACTTGATTTTAGGTAGCGCCATCGGCTCCGAACATCAATGGCCCACTATCGGCCTTCAAACCATATGATTCGTCATCCAGTCAAGCTGCACCGATTCCTCCTTTCCCAGGACCTTCCATGGCGTTCCAGCCGCCTCCTAATCCCTTTACTTCTACACAAGGGTTTACATCTCCTGTTCAACATGTACGTTTAATTAAATATTTCAATAGTTTTCTACCTCTTCTTGCTTGGCATAATTCGTTGTGAAACAAGGTTCGATGTTAAGCTAGGGGGCATTACCTCACACAGCTTCCTAAAAAGCAGCCATCCCTGGGAATGTTTAGTGCGCAGCGTGAGGTCCCTAGCGATACTGCTGAAGCCAAGGTAGGAGCATGATACACGCCCTGACGCAAGTAAACTGTACAAGAAGTCGAATCTAGCGAATAGCTACTTGGTTGGCGGGCTTGGCTAGAGCTGATAGAGCATCGCCAAGCGAGTCTTAAGATCATAAAGCATTTCAGCCGTTTTTTGCTTGCGGCTTTCAGTTTTTATAGTATACCGGTACTTGTTCCTTTTACTCCAGCTCTACACCAACAAGTTAGTTACAATGAATGCTTGTATTTATGTTATTATCGAAGCTGTTAGCCTTCTACGTGAATGTCGAACTCTTGGTTGATACCTTTCACTTGGTAGCTTACTCTTGGCGTGGCCCTTAACTGCTGTTACAATAATTTAGAATTGATCCGATTTTTTTTGTTAGTAATTCATTGCTCAAATTTTGTTAAGGTTGCCACTACTGGATCGTTGCCTCATCCGCCCTTTGGAAGTTCAGCTCCAGTTGTACATCAGAACAGTTCTTATAATTCTAACTCAACTCTTGGTCCAGCCGGTCCTCCTGGTGAGTGGTGAATCTATCACGTTGTTCAACATTATTCAAGCATTTGGCAAGATTTGTTTATTAGTTTGTATAATACATTCACAAAATCACGTCATAAGTCGAAAAGTCTGACTGCTTTTCAAGTGTTATGACTACATATATGCACACCCATGTAGCAATAGCTGACATTGTGTCCACTGAGGAAATGAAATGAAGTGATCTTGCGCTACTGTGTTCCTCTTTTCTGCCTTCCTCTCATGTAGGTAATTTGGGAATGGTGTGAATATTGATTTGCTTCCGAAATAGGCTGCTCACTCCATAAACACAACGCATTAATTTGCCGAGTTTTTTGCAGAGCACCTCGTCTAGTATCATCCTACTTATATAATCGGCTAAGTGTGTCTGTTGATGTGTGTGTGTGTGTATGTGTGTGTGTCTGACCGGAAATTCATAACTTCTGTCCCCGTGGACCGAAATCGTTAAAATTTGGTAGGAGTACAGGCGGCAGGATGGGAACACTTTTAGTGGGTGCTAGGACCGAACTCCGCCCAAAGGGGGCGGGGTTTGTGAAAAATAAATGTTTGAGCGAAAATTCAGAACTCATGTCCCCGTAATCCTGGAGCACTCAAACTTGGTAGGAGTACGGGCGGCAGGATAGGAACACTAATGGTGGGTGGCAGGACCAGGTCCCGCCCATAGGGGGAGGAAATTGACAATTTGGCCATAGGGCGTTCAAAGTGTTGCAATTGCACGAAAATTTCACGGAGGTACGGCTCATCTATCCTTTTTTTCTCTGAATAATCGCCTTTGTGATGTTATACGATGTTCTGGCCGGACACAGCGAAGATGGCTTACTGAAAAAATCGCTCTCGGTTGGAGCTAATACTGAGGGTGTAGAGCTTTCAAGGAAAAAGGAGAATCCCAAGAGTTGTTTACGCATAGCAAATTTCTTACAGAAAGGAGGACCGCCCGACGAAGCCGGGCGTAACCATAAGGAGGGAAGCCCAGCGTTAGCCGGGCGGCCCGACTGGTTTTTCATATTTCCTTGCCTTTTGCTGTTTGTTCTACTTGTCGATATGTAGATGTGTGTTTGAAAAGGAATGTTTTTTGGTAACTTGTGAGAAGATGATTATATTTCTTAAGTTCCACCTGTCCCACCGGGTCTTGCCGGCCACTCCAGATCGTCCGCATCGACTCCAATGCAGACAGCCGCCTTTCAACCACCAGCACCACCAAACATACAACAAGTGCAACAAGGCTTCAGTCAAATGGTAAGTTTTGATTGATCATAATCTTACGAGAAAGCCATTATTGGATGAATACATTCATCATTCAAAATTTTGGTGCGCTTGGAAGCGTGCTGTATTAATTACCAGTTGGGCTACGCACGCTAACGCGGTCACTATATGTCGACGACCGCTTATCTGCGATTGGTCATTCAGCGGAACGTTGAATTATCAGAACAAGGCAGTTCTTTCTAGATTGGAACGCTGAACTGCTGAAAGTATTACGCTCTTTATTCATTTGAGCATAGTTATTAGTTGCTGATCATGACTCCGTCCACCGCAGTGCAGGCAGTTTTCACTATAAAAACTTGACCGAAAAACTTGTTCCTTTACCTCTGGCCACTTTTTTCCCGCGTTCTAGAACGTTTCTGAACGAAGTTATGAAATTTTGCTCTAAGTCCCGATCACTTTTGTGCCAACCCAGCTATTTCGAGGGTTCGACCACATTTGTTCCATTACCTCTAACCACTTTTTCCCGCATTCTAGAGCTTTTCCGAACGAATTTATACTCATTTTCGAAAAGCAGCTTCATCTCAACGCACGCCCTGCCCATGGTGGGCGGGGCTACGCCTGCCCAGCACGAATAATGCCTTGCTTACTTAAAACGATTGCGACAATTGCAAAGAGCTCCGGTCCGCTTGACTAGTAGCCAGGAAATCCGGGGAATCTCACTGACAGAGAAAATATTTTACAAACAGTTGAAGTGAACAACTGCAATGCAAAAAAAGGGAGCGGCTTCTTTAAATTATCACGCCACCAAGAATACTGAGAAAAGGAGAGGAAGGTAGATCAGGCGGAGGTAGAGGAAACCGTCAACAATCCATATGCTTTCTGATCCACTGCAGTCTCATCATACAGTTTATCCACGACAGTGTTATAAATCAGTTTAAAAACCTTTTAAACGAATGCCAAAGCTCAAACCAATGTACAACGATTTGTGGTATAATATCAGATAGAAGGAAATGGTTGCGTTGATCTAGGATGAAGCGTCAGCGGCAAGGAGATGAAAAAGGCAGGAACTCTGTAAGCGTGACCTTCCTTGAACTGTGTGCCCCCATTCTCTGCTTTGTACGAGCAAGGCAAAGTGTTCTTTGACAAGAGTTATCTGATAGGAATGCTACACGATCCTACGATGCAATACCGTCCAACCAGCTTATACTACTGCAAGCCGCTCGGCCCACTCATCTATGGGCATCCATAACAGCAGTTGCTATTTTGGACGGATCTTGCCCTCTGTTGTTTTCCAGTGCAGAAAAGCCAAATATCGCCTCATTAGGCCCTATAGTTTATTCCCGGTAAGTGATCTGCAGCATTCGTCCCATCAAAAGTGTCTTTGAGTAGTCTCCGGAGCAGGGCAACCATTTCTACAGTAACCATCAATCCAAAACTTTTCTTTTGTCAAATGTGGAGCGGTGCTACGTAACTGCGTACGTATACTTGTTTTGGTAAGGCATGTCATCTTCGGATTGAATGTATCACTATTGGCACCTCTACTGAAGCTTGCACATTATGTTCAAAAACAAAGATTTGTCCGCGGCAAACACGTCACTAACAGCGAGAACCATTCTGGGGACCTGTATAATTCTGTCGTTTTTTATTAAATTGTGAGTTTTAGACCCATCTTTCAGAACAGTATCAAATATTTGAAAAAAGTTTCTTTTTTAGTATAAAATTCTAAACATCACCAAATTTTGTTATGTTCTTGCGACTCCATTGTTCTTGACTGATTGAAAGAAGCTGGGTAAAGGTGTTCTTCTTCAGAGTATGAATGCCCAGCCGACAATACCACAGCATGTCAACTCTTCCTGGGGTGTTCCTCATCCGCAAGATTCGCGACTGACCACTCAAATGCAAACTCCAGATTTAATTGACTTGGTAGCTGAAAGGAATGTTCTCCAATTGGGATTCGACGATAACGAATACGTTCTTCCTCACAATATGGCCAACAATGCCGCGAGAGTGGATCCATGGTTTGTAGAAGCCTTGTTTACCTGACTCTAATTTCGACTATACCAGACAATTGCTGCCAGAAATCAAACAAAGTTAACGAATTATGTTAGGGGATTTTGCAGTTGTAATACATGAATAATTTTAGCGTATTTCGCTGTACATTGACAATGGTGCCTCAAACTGAGGAGCTGTTGAAGAAAAGTCGTTTGCCCTTTGGTCTCACTCTTCATCCTTTTCGAGATATGAAGGTATTTTCAAAGTTTGTGCGTGAGATTGACGTTGTTCGCGATAGGATGATCTACGTGTTTATTTTGTTCTAGAACTTGAACATAATCCAAACTTCTACAATCGTCCGTTGTCGTTATTGTCGAACATATATCAATCCATACGTTTACTTACCAGACTCACGGCACTGGAAATGCAATTTGTGCAATAGAAACAATGACCGTGGGTTCCCTTCTTCTTTTTGGATCAATACTTTTTTCGACTTCTCGTCGTGTGTTTTCGGCTTCCTATGTCGTTGTTTGCATCACTCTGTAATTTGCTTTTAAATTGGAGATATATTTTCACGTTGGCGCTTTTAGTACCGGATGATTTTTGCTGGGATCCGAACACAAAGTCATTTGGAGATCCAGTCAATCGACCTGAGATCAAACACCCGACGGTGGAATTCATTGCACCCAATGAATACATGGTAATTAAGTCTTTATTTTTATTATATCTTGGTGGCTTCGATCCTAAGAAATGTAAAATAATAGACAGTTCGCTAATACAGTAAGCTGGGCATTTGGAACTAACGGGACCTAGAACAGTCTGCCTTTTCTGGCCTTCATTGTAGTGTTCCCATGCAACCTCGTGGGGCGTGTTGTTTGACGATTCACTTACGGGGACTTGGTTCGGTATTTCTCAAAATCGCTTCATCTGACATTCTCCGAAATAGGGCGTTCTTCCAACTAGTAGAGTTTTTATAAGTTTTGAGTTACTCTAATCAGCAGCGGTTAACAGGGAAAGGTTTGCTATCAACATTTGTAGTGCACATGTCTTGTATGCACGTAACTTCTTCCCAAAATTAAATCCACGCTCTATATTTTTTATGTATATTTGCTATCGTTATAGCTGCGCCCACCGCAGCCTGCTGTCTACGTGTTTGTTTTGGACGTGAGTGCGGCAGCTGTTGAAGCAGGTATTGTTGATTTCGCATTTAGTGGTGAATATTTGAAGGGCAAAGAACGAAAGGTTCTAAAAAATGGTTCTTCCCACAATTAATGTTCAAGTGGCTCTACTGTACGCGCGGCAGGCTGTGTTTCCTGTGACAAAATAACTTTATTTGTACCGGCACTAACCAATAATCGCCTAAAATATTCACAATGAGCTTAGCAATTATCTAGACCGCTTTTGTCACTTAAAAGCGTGCCTATCTATCTATCTCAAATGTGGCAGCGCATTGTTGAGCTCTTATTTGTCTCGTTTTATATGAGCTTCAGCTGTTCAAATTGAATAACGCAGCACCATTTATGAAACTGCAAAATTCTTCGTTATTCTGGATATGCGTCAGAAATTGTTTTAGCCTATTTGGGTGTGAGTTTTAGCCTATTTGGGTGTGAATCAAAGTTACAACTGTAAAATGTGTTTTGTGAGAGCGTAGCGTAAGATACATAGCGACCAAAAGGCTTCAGTGAGAAGCTTTTCCAATTGTAAGTTTCTCTCTACTTCATAAAATCATACGAAATTTTAGTATGTCAAAAGGCATATGGTGAATACTTACCGCTTTAAACTGCAGTTTGCTATTGTTCACGGTACGTTGGTGAGATTTAGCTTAAATTCAGTGGGAAATACAGATAGCATCGACCTAATAAAAACCGTTTTATTTCGGAAAAGAAATATGTAAAACATCAAAAACATCGATATCTGGTAGGAGAACTTCGACTTTTAATGTCAGCGTTGCAACTGGCATGGCGTTCCCTCCATAGCTTATCAAGCGAATTTTTCTTCACTGTATTTACAAGGTTCAAAAAGCTTTTTGAGCACTTCCCACATGTGCTCTATAGGATTCAAATCCAATGACCGGCTTGACCCAGAATCATGGTTCGCTGTTCGCTGCGAGCTGAATTGACAACTGTTGAGAAGTGTTCCGAATCGTAATTCCGCTGCAGGACTTATCCTGCTGCATGTGATGCTGTGCCCACGGCAAGACTATGTCAACCGTCATGTTCTTGTACTACTTCCTTGTCATCGTGCTGTCAATTCTCAAAATAGGGCCCATTCCGTTTGAGGAGAGGGTACCGTGTACCACCTTACTTCCTCCACCTTGCTCGATTGTGGGAAGAGTGTACTTGCATTGAAATTTTCCTCAGATGGTCGTCCGCACCATATACCATCGCCTCCAAATTGATCTTCCACCGATCTGCAGAAGGAACCGTAATACAGTCGAACGGCGGTCGGAACCCTCCAATAAACGCCAGCACTGTTCAGGTGTCTTCCTGCAGTCTGTCAACTAGTAACAGTGCTATCGCTAGCGCTGAACTCAGCGACAATGTCAGTCGCGGTGAGGCGAGGGTCAGCCTTCGACCGAAGTGTGCTACGTCTGTTTGGGCTGATAAGGTACATCGTAGTCTTCCCATTCTCTAAGCATTGCAAACAGAGTCTCTGACCTGCTAGCATGGGATAATCGAAGAAATGGTCTGCTGTGGGTCCTTCAAAATTCTTGAAATGACCGTGTCTTTCATGCCCAATTCCTTCATGTCTACTGCTGCCAGCCGACCTTTCACAGTGACTACTGCCCTTTCATGCAATGCATGCATTGAGTGTACAAGTACTAACGCCTGGCACAAATGTGATTCAGAAATGCATTTATCTTTAACCTCGCAATCAGAAAAAATCGCTCGTGTAGTAGAGCCTATACTCTTAGCCAGTAGTCGTAATCGTAGTCTGATCCCCCCGTTATGAAGCCAAAAGTACAAAAAGGTTCGGTTAAAAGTGAGGTTTGACATATCAATTTCCTTGAATCCTTTTACTGGGAAAAAAAGTTACTATCGAAAAAGCGTTTCACTGAAGACTTTTGGCTGGTACTGTATGTGCTCTGTACGTTATCTGCCATGTCGTCCTCTGTAGCCCAGATCCTGTTCTTCCGAACAAAAGCAAAAATCCAAAAGCTTCACTCGTCTCGTATCAAAAAACTCTGTTTAGGATATATCTACACATTTTCTGAGCAGCTGCTTATCAATCTCGATCAGCTACCTGGAGATGAAAGAACGCAGGTGTGGATCAGATTATCCTAGTTTTACCATTTGTATTTATCTCCACATTATTGCTTGCAAGTAGTAAGTTATAACTTTGATGAGTTCGCTTTTTCATGTCGCAGATCTTAAATATGTTTGTTCTGCACGAGTAACTTACAGGTCGCTTTTGTGTGCGTTGATTCCATGGTGCATTTTTACCAGTTTTCGTCGGGCTCACGACGTCTTCCTAGAGAACTGATCGTTGATGAAGTGGACGGTAGGCTCCTGTTTGAAGCGCTCAATACGAAATCAACTTCAGTTTTTAAGAGATGTTCCTGCCAGCGCATCAAGGAATTTTGATTCCGCTGAGGAAGAACGCTGACGTAAGTTCATTATCCGATTTGGAATGACTCCTTCAAAAGTCCTATAAAACTGAACCGACATTATTAAAAAGTGAGCGTATATTTCTAGCTCCAACTAGCCCATTTGTATGGAAAACAAGGTTAGGGATTTTAGAACTTCTAAACTGATGGCTGGCAACTAGTGAAAATAGGGTCGGAAGAGAAAAGTGTTTATGCCTGTGAAATACAATTCACGTGTATAGTCTAGGGAAATATGTAAACAACAATGTTCTTGGTTTCATATTTCTTGAATACTTTTTTTTCATAGCCTAATAGACTGGACGAACTGCCTCAGTTTCTATTTCAAAAATCTTGACAAAGTGCTTTCAAGGATTTCATTTCCATTATTATGTGCGCAGTATCATGACGAGAAAATTTAGGTTGTTCGTGCCTTCGTTGAGAAGCTTCCTGTGCTCTTCGAGCATGCTAAAAGCTCGTCCAATTGTCTTGGATCTGCACTAAAGATCGTGCACGAACTAATAGTGGGTGATATTCCTAGTTCTTAAAAATTGTTTTAGTTAAAAACGGCCTGCCGCTCCTATAATTGCAGTAATATGCAGTAATAGCGCAGAAAAGGCGCTATATGAGTGTTTTTTAAATACTTACCTTCAACATTATTTGTTCATTGATTGTTGAGCATTCATAACTAAGTAGTTTTGAGATTAGGTCCAGTGTGCTCGTATTCCACATTTATTACTACTTTTTATATTTCGGTTCGGGCCATAAAAAATGTCATGAACTTTGAAAAAATTCATGAAACCAGTACAAAACTTTAACTCATCCTCTTAAGCGGTTTGTCTAATTGAATGTTGTTCATAGGAATTGTTTGTAAGGCATTCTGCATATAGTATTTGACGACTTGAAAAAGCGATTATCTACCCTCGCTGGATTCAGCTCCTTTCTCTTGCACCGCATGACTTGTAATTAGTACTAGCAACTTTATGGCTTTTTTTCCAGGCAGAGATTGGTGGACGTGTAACGGTGTTCCAAGCATCGATTCCTAACATTGGACCCGCTAGCTTGAAGCCTCGTGAGGATCCAAATCAGAGAGCGGCTGATGTAAGTAGTAAATTCTCAAAAGCAAGCTTTCCCAATACAAAAAGGGGACACGAAATAACAGAGCACAATAGTGTAAAGGAGTCGAAGAAAACACGAATCGGCAGATCTAGAAAATTTCAAGGCTTTGAAAAAGTAGTAAAATTAAAGGTTCAACGAAAATGTGACAACAAAAGTTGCATTTAGGGGGCTTTGGACGAGCTGTCTATAGGTGTGCGGCGTCGCGTACAGCTGGCTGCAATAAGCTGCCTGCATGTAACGTGTGCGTCCCCGTGCGAAGACTGCAACCTATGCAGCATCTCCAACGCCGTGGGAATTAGCCCCTTGGATGTGTACGTCAGTCTAGCCAGTCTAGCCGGTTTTGTAGCTATTATCACGGTCTATCTAGACCGTCTTTCCTTCTAAAAGCGTCTCTGTGCTGTCCTCGGTGGCACAGGTTCACCCTAGGGGGAATTCCAGGAACGTTCTATCGTGAACTGCGCGTTCGAGGCGTAACTGGGGCACTGGGTCTTTGAAGCACCTGCTCAGTTATTGGCACTCAGTGAGACTCGCTTTTTGTATCTTTCAAATTTAAACGCTCTCCATCAACGGTAAAAAAAAGTTTTGAAATTGCGGTCAAATACTGACGCACAGACAGACATTTAAAAAGAGTTATGTCTAGTAAGATCTCACTCTTCTTCTGCTTCAAAGCAGTCCTTACCTCACATATAATGTAAGATGCACCGTTTTTATCGTTCAGGAGGTCCAAAATCTCGGACCGGTGACAGATTTCTACAAATGTCTCGCCTTGGAGTGTACCGGACACCAAGTAGCTTTAGATCTCTTCATGCTCAATTCCCAGTACGCTGATCTTGCCACTCTTTGTAGGTTATACATAGTTAGCTTTGCTAATTTATGCAAGTCTAATTTTTGTTGATTTCCTTTCTTTTTAGCTGAGATGGCCAAGTTCTCTACTGGTTGTGTATATCATTTTCCAAACTACCATTGTCTCAATGACACTGTGCAGGTATGTTACTCCATTCCTTGTGCATGATTATTTCCTGTGTGGTACTTGGTAATGTTTTCTGACCTCTGGTGAAAGCTTGATCTTTCATGTAGCCGAGCGCAGCTGCTTATGCTCTTGCAGCTTACTCGTGATATGTGATATGTGGTAAGCTTCACCATTTCGATCAGAACAATAGGCAAAAATATAAAGTTGGTGTTAACGAATAAATTTTTTATAAAGGTAAAAGTGATTCGTTTCGCCTCTGCTCAGACGAATCACTTTGTTACTCAGTAATCCCGAGGCTCATTAGTGAGTTGGGGGTTAGTGAGCAGCAAGTAAATAATAACCCTGAGCTGATTCGTAGTCGAGGGGAGTCGGTATTTAGTTCCGCGGTTCCACACTTCTAATTACACAATAACGCTGAACCAAATAGGCTCACCCGTAGTCGAGGGGTGTGTTGCGATTTCATGGGCAAAGTGATCAGGTCAGGAGGCCACACTCGCGACCATTGACCCATGGCGACTCCCAATTACACGTTTGTGTGTACGCAAAGGCACTCAATGCTTATGTAAGTGCGATCGAGACCAAGCACTTTCAATTGTTAGGAATTGTCGCATCGAAATTTGACTTTACACTTGCCCAGCAATGCGTTGCGTGCAACTTTGGGCGGCGTGAACTTATTATCTTGACGGTGATAGGATCGCACGTCCCCTTGGCCGAGAAATACTTCTTGTTTTGTCGTTCCTCTTTTACAGAGAGTGGTGTCGATACGTATTGTATGTCGTCCTATTCACTTTTATAGAGTGATAATTTTTCCATTCAGGTGAAGCGATTTGAGAAAATTCTCACAAGATATCTTACACGAAAAATTGGATTCGAGGCCGTCTTACGAATCCGGTGTTCAAGAGGTTACTCGTTTAAATACTGTAATTTGCAGATTTGAGCGTGATAATTTAGTGCTTTAAGGACTCAGTTTGTCGGCCTTCTACGGAAATTTCTTCGTTAGATCTACTGACCTTCTTGCTCTCGCTAACGTCAATCCGGACTCAGCTATTGCAGTGCAGGTAACGCTTCCGTTAGATTGGTTGATGAATACTTATAGATATGGTCATCATTTGAGGTGAGCATGGACGAGAAATTGTCGACAACTGCCTGTTTCCAAGCAGCTCTTCTTTATACATCCAGCAAAGGTTTTTTTTCTTTCTTTTTTTTCCTTTTCATTTATTTTTTCTTTTATTTGCAATTTGAAATTTTCACAAAATTTCTAGGAGATCGACGTATCAGAGTTCATACTATGTGTTTACCTACGACTGCAGACTTGGCCCAGGTCTACAGTAATTTTGATTTAAAAGCAACGATTTCTCTGATAGCGAAAATAGGTTCGATTACTTTTCTGCTATGGCCTATAACTCTTGGAGTTTTCTGGAGTGCAAATCGGTTTTAAGAGTAAAATGGGAATAATTACAAGCCAAAAAATTAAATAATCATTTTTCATTTTCACATACTTTTTGACTTTTTGAGAGTTCTAAAATGGTGTCTAGCATTGATAGGTATGATTTTCGGCAATATAGAAAAGTCAGGAGTTGTGGGTCAAATAGCTATTCCTTATTAGTACCTTGAATTTCATTTTTGGAAATTAAGGAGTTGATAGATCCATGTCGGGCTCTTCGCTGGCGGATTGCAGGGAAGCGATAGTGAATGCCGTGATTGATTCGCTCGGTGCTTACCATAAGACCATGCGGCAAGGCCGCCCTGGTGGACTGTTGGTGCCACGGAGGGGTCATTTGCGGCTGTTTCCTCTCTACGCTCTGGCCATGCTGAAGCATGTAAGATCTTTTTTTTAGCTATCTTTTTTATTGTTGATGAAACTAATGTAGCATAAGAGTTTCAAAAGGGTCCATGAAATTACAATAGAATCGCCGTGCCGCCAACGATAGTGAGGCACCTAATCGGCTCGCGCGATTTTTTGAAAATTCTTCGCTTGGTTTTAGTGTGAGCCATGTACAGATACTTGCGTTACTGTGAAAACTTGTTTGGCTGTGTCGAACTGAGGCAACTTAATTTCCGTACTTTGTGCCGAACTCAATCTCTTAATTGCGCTTGATACTGGTTTTACTCTAAGTAAACTAGCATTCTTTCAGCCAATTTACAAATTATACTAACATGCAAAACCATACGTGAAAGTCTCCATGAAAAATTTGAAGGCAGCTATCTGTTGGCAGGAGCTCGGGAAATTTGTAGGATCTGACCCGACACAAGTTGAAACCTTTGTGGGTTTATGCTTTTCAGGGGGACGGTTCGAGAAGCTAAGTGACTGGCGATGCAGCTTGGCCTTTTATTTTACCTCATATGGTAATTTAAGTGTCTGTGTCAGTTTAGCAACTATCAATTTAATACAGGAGAAATTATCATTAAACATGTCCAGTTGGTTTTCGATTCTTCACTTACCATTAGCTATGCGAATTCGCTTTCGGCTTCACCGTTAGGCTTGTATGACGCGCTTCCTCGAAAAAAAAGCAGATTGAAGTTTGGGAAATGCTATTTTTGGGATGCTTCTTCGCTCTTTCGCCTACGACATTCTGCATACAATGCGCCATACATTGAGAGCAGAAGTGGTTGGCACTCTTAGGAAGAGATTTCAGCCGTAGTTCGTCACAAATTATGTAAGAGCTTACGGTGGTCACTAAAAAAACCAATTGCAGACGGCTTTTTGTGCTGGTCGCTCTGTGAAGCTAGACGACAGGGTCGCTGCTATGCTAATGCTGCGGTTTTGCCCTTTGGAACAGATTCTTTCCGAATTTTATCCTCAGCTTTATCGACTTAACGAAATTCTGCAGGTGCAAATTCAATCATTCATTTCATTTTATTTTCATGATTTTTTCTGTTTCTATTGTCAAGAAAAAATGTTCCAGTTCGAGGACGGAAAGTGGCCGTCGGCACTACCTTTGTCTTTTGAATACGTAAATAGAGAGGGCATCTATTTGATAGAGGCGGGATCGGCTATCTATGTCTATTTATCTTCGCATTCCGATGCTCAGCTTGTGCAGGATCTCTTTGGATGCTCTTACTATCAAGTCGATGAGGTGATTAGCAATTTTATCTATTTCTCTGAATTCCGTTGAGAAGTAGGAAATTGATTTCCAATGAGAGATGGAAGAATATTACATAGTTTCCTGATTTGTGAATTTGTTCTAACTATCTAGTCTTTCCAGACGTCGTTCCGGATATATGATAACCCATTTTCCGAAAAAGTTCATGCTTTTGTACGTCATGTAACAGCACTCAAATTCTATTTGGGTCCCGTAATTATTGTGAAGTGAGTCCAGAATATTGTTTTTGTGATTTCCTATGAAGTTTGAGTATCCTGATTATAGAGAGGATTCTGCCGTACGTGAAGCTATATTGAGACGGTTTATTGACGATCGTACCGAGTCCAACCACTCCTATGTCGAATTCTTGCATCACATAAAACGCGAAATTAATAACTAATTTAACAGTCAGGACAATTCTTCAGAACATTTCATCAAATTTCGTCTTCTTGCCGATCAAACGGAAGTGTGAGTGCTGAACTTTATCAGTTTTTCATTGAGAATACGGGTTTCGCATCATTATTTAGTTTGCTCATAACATATGCCCTACCCCTAACATGATAATTTTATGATTTATCTAGATTATCAAGGTATGGTAGAAGCGTAGAGGAAGCACCTGGAAAAGTATATTGCGAATTGATCATCCTTAGGGGCCGTCGTACATGAACAACTCTCGTCTCCTCCTTTATAGTCGGTATCGTAAGGTGTGTTAGACATAAGCAAACTTGTGTAAACATCGATTTTGACCTAGGGTTAGCTGCACTCTCAAGGGTTCGCTCTCAGCGTACTAGGTCAGAAGGGGGAGCCGTTGTCTGATGAATTACTTATGTAAAATGTAGGACTGCAAAAGCCATGCATACCGTTTGAAGCCTTTAAAAATAGCCTTTTTTGAAAGTTTTAGCACTTTGTTAGCGACTATTGTTGGTGTAAATGTTATAAGAAGAATTTTACCACGCTGCACCACTTTCAGGCTCTTTGTTTCCTGCGTTTGTTACTAAGTGATAGTTCAACAATTCTGGTTCCTGGATGCAGTATGGCAGCTCTTCGTCTCTTTCGGAATTTGTTCATTTGAAGTCAGTAGTCGCTTCTTTTGTTTACACTGTCATTCTTGCTATGTCTGCCCGGTTTCGTTCTGGTCTACTGGATCATTGTTAACTTCGTAATGTATATCATCTGTTGTGTCTTATTACGGTCTTCTGCTGGGTGTTACACAGCTCAAGGGGAATTCTGTCATTAATTAAAGTTGATTCTCTATCCTTTCTACCTTGTAGTTAATCGCCTAGACTTACTGAATGACACCCTAATATTATGAATGGTCGTTTCAGAGTGTGCACATGACCAGAATAATCTAATGAGCCTATTTTCGCGTTATTTTTGTGCATTCTTTATACAAAGAAAGTAGGTATGCGAGCTGTGATCACGAGTTTTCTTTCTTTCAATGTGGATTGTACTGAATCTGCGTAATTTGCACTGACTTAGG